ATCAGAATTTCTTTCGGATCCAGGGCTTTCTAGCAGGGCTTGTGACAGGAAATGAACCAGAGAGCAGCCTAAGCAGGGTAGGTGCTCTCCATAGATGCTTAGCTCAAGGAAGGAATCAGATGTATTTAGTCAGAAAGGGTTTTGAAAAATTAGGCTTAATCATTAACAGTGGGTACGAAAGATGCAGGTGTAAAATTAAAGATCTGTTAAAAATCCAGCTTTTTTAAAGGAAATCTTATAATAGTGGTGTCCTTTATCTATTTATCGCTAAAAGAGACAACAGTTTAACTACAGGGAAAGAACAAAAATTTAAAAAATTTACTTCTTATCAGAAAAAACCTTAAACTAATCTGTTCTAGCTAGGAAAAGGCTACAACACCTTAAGCTCTAATAACATGGAGTTGCTCCCAAGCCTGTTTTAAGTCACTCTGCAACATCTAGTAAAGATTAAGATCACACATTTTAATTACTTTAATTTCTGCCAGTCCCTGGGGAACAAACTCATGCAGTGGTTACCAAACCTTGCATTTATAAAATGTGTTTAAAATTAGTGGACCAAAATCTCCTCCATACCACTAGGGCAGGGGTCACCAATTGCCATCCTCTGGTCCAGGTCCGGACTCAGCAAAGCTTTTACCCGGACTGCTGGACGTTTCATGTGGTAAAGTGTTTTACTCAGAGAATTTTCTTCAGGCACAGCTTTGAAAGCCCAGCTGTGGCTCATCAGGCACTTTCCACGACCTACTCCAATCACATTGGAACCTGTTCGGTTTGTTCACACTCTAAGACAAGACAGAAGCTAGTCCTTAATTCACAAAACATTTGAGATTGCTGCTTTACAATTCTTTAAAAGTTGGAATATAAAAACGGGGCATTCAAAGACGAGCGGGCGGTCAAATATAGGGTTATGTAATGTAATACACTGATGAGTAGTTATAGCCATTTTAAATGGATATAAATGTGCATGTATTTTAAACATCTCCTCACTGAAATTCATGTAGTTATGAAAATGTTAAACGTTTTTCTTTGATTGTTTGATTCTTTTGATTGTTTTTTTTACACACATATTTCAATTTATTTTCTATTTTTATAAATACAATAGGTGTTCAAATCACATTTCCTTTTTTCTCTTGGCCAGAGCCTGGGACTGTGTGAGTTTTCTCCACAGCGTGCCTGTGGTCCCACTCTATTTCTTTACGTAAATGATAGTGCATAGCTGTCTCCACTTAGCTCATCAGCAGCACAGTATGAAAGCTGGGTGATGCAAACGTTTCGCTGAGTGTTCTGGAAATACGAATATATTAAACCTTCACAGGGGAATGCTTTTTGAAATCAGAAAAAATAGTTCCCCCCTTAAATATATTCCTTCATTTTGTATTTTGACATAGTGAAATGTTCCAGAATCAGATGTTAATATCAAGCAACTAGATTTCCTGTAGCCTTTTTTTATGATTTCATGTATTCAACCTTTTCCTTTTCAGGGATCATTGGAAGGTAAAAGCTGAAAGAAAAACTAGAGATAAAGATTAAGAAGAAAAATTATTTATACTAACCTGAACATATTTGAAAAAAATGATCCCCCCTAAACTTTATATCTGGGTTAGACAACCTTGATGGTAATGTAAGCTATTAATTGTTCATGGTAAACAATTGCTATTTGGAAGTTTTGTTCCAAAAATCCTTTTAATTTATCCAAATCTATGTCAAGGTTTAGGAGAATTAAAGGACCCATCAAATCATCTGTACTGGATAAGTTTAGACCTGGGTTAGGTTATTTTTTTTAAATGGAGCCTAAGTGGAAGTACAACTGAATAAACTGAATACTTGTCTTCATCCACCTATGACACAGCCAATCAGCTATGAACCACGACTCCAATAAAAGCCAATTAGCATCCAAAGATCATCTTGCAAAGGCCTCCAATCCACAACTGTTACCTGCTGCGCAGGCAGCAGATGCGCAGTTTGACTTCATTCAGATGACAATGTTTCAACCCACCTCCAGCCCCTCCTCCACCATCGTAGCTAAAACTTCAACAGAGTTCCATTCCTCCCGGACTCTTACTGCATTCCATGTCTCATTTCAACTAGTCTGGAAAAAGACCGCCATATTGAGCCTGGTTCTGCCAGAGGTTTGTCCCCAATGGGGAGTTTTTCCTCTCCACTGTCACTTCATACTTGCTCATCATGGACAGGTTCTCTCAGCCTGTGTTATCCAACTGGACTTCCATCTTCCAGTTCCCTGAGTGAAGCTCTAGTATCAGCTCATGCAGTCCACTGGATCTCCCCATAAAGCTCAGCAGACCGTCTCACTAACCAGCAGTCTACAGACTGACCAACTTCATCTATCTCCATTATAACACCAGTTTCAGGCCTGGGGGGGAACCAGTCCTGTTCTTCACTCCTGTTCATTGATATCAATCCAAATTCAGCGCTATGTTTCCTGCCAAGGTCTACGCTTCAAAGACTAAATTAATTGTATCAATAACACTTTTCTTTTCGCTCCGCATGAGTTTTTCAGATTAAAAAACCCTTCGGTCCTTTCATTCTTCAAGATCTCTGTGGTTTGATTTTTACCCAAAAAAATAAAAAATACTAGAGAAGACAGAATAACTCAATAAAATCTAAAACATGAGGAAAACATCATTAAACACCAAGTAATAAGTTTACTTTAAACACATGACTGATGAGGTATTTTGTAAACAGTATATAAACCTATTAAACCACAAAATTCTGTACTCTTATATCCATTAAACACAATTTTTTGTTTGTTTTGTTTTTCAATTAGGTTTAAGAGGCCATATTCTACATTAAAGGTGCAAAGATTGCTATCTAACCAAGTCTATTGATCTTGTATCTAGTCAAAAAGTAATCTTGATCTTAATTTCACATCGATTGAATTTTCAATTCATGATATACACTCACCGGCCACTTTATTAGGTACCCCGTGCTAGTAACAGGTTGGACCCCCTTTTGCCTTCAGAACTGCCTCAATTTTTCGTGGCATAGATTCAACAAGGTGCTGGAAGCATTCCTCAGGGAGTTTGGTCCATATTGACATGATGGCATCACACAGTTGCCGCAGATTTGTCGGCTGCACATCCATGATGCGAATCTCCCGTTCCACCACATCCCAAAGATGCTCTATTGGATTGAGATCTGGTGACTGTGGAGGCCATTTGAGTACAGTGAACTCATTGTCATGTTCAAGAAACCAGTCTGAGATGATTCCAGCTTTATGACATGGCGCATTATCCTGCTGAAAGTAGCCATCAGAAGTTGGGTACATTGTGGTCATAAAGGGATGGACATGGTCAGCAACAATACTCAGGTAGGCTGTGGTGTTGCAATGATGCTCAATTGGTACCAAGGGGCTCAAAGAGTGCCAAGAAAATATTCCCCACACCATGACACCACCACCACCAGCCTGAACCGTTGATACAAGGCAGGATGGATCCATGCTTTCATGTTGTAGACGCCAAATTCTGACCCTACCATCCGAATGTCGCAGCAGAAATCGAGACTCATCAGACCAGGCAACGTTTTTCCAATCTTCTATTGTGCTTGTGCAAATTGTAGCCTCAGTTTCCTGTTCTTAGCTGAAAAGAGTGGCACCCGGTGTGGTCTTCTGCTGCTGTAGCCCATCTGCCTCAAAGTTCGACGTACTGTGCATTCAGAGATGCTCTTCTGCCCACCTTGGTTGTAACGGGTGCTTATTTGAGTCACTGTTGCCCTTCTATCAGCTCGAACCAGTCTGGCCATTCTCCTCTGACCTCTGGCATCAACAAGGCATTTCCGCCCACAGAACTGCCGCTCACTGGATGTTTTTTCTTTTTCGGACCATTCTCTGTAAACCCTAGAGATGGTTGTGCGTGAAAATCCCAGTAGATCAGCAGTTTCTGAAATACTCAGACCAGCCCTTCTGGCACCAACAATCATGCCACGTTCAAAGTCACTCAAATCACCTTTCTTCCCCATACTGATGCTCGCTTTGAACTGCAGGAGATTGTCTTGACCATGTCTACATGCCTAAATGCACTGAGTTGCCGCCATGTGATTGGCTGCTTAGAAATTAAGTGTTAACGAGCAGTTGGACAGCTGTACCTAATAAAGTGGCCGGTGAGTGTATATTCTCAAAACAAGTCTTATCAGTTGCACTAGCGCGGAGTTCTTCACCAGGGGATCCGCGACCTCTGGGGGTCCACAGAGGTTCTGTATGGGGGTCGCGAAAGTTTTGGTTGATTCAATTTTTTTTTTTCATGTTCCCCACAGTAATTTCTTTCCACTAATTTAAATGTCTTTAAATCCACATTAACATGAATTGAACACACTGTAGTAAACAGATAAATGGAGGCAGAAGATGTCTTTCAGTCTTCAATGCTCACATTCAGCGACACACAGGAGGTCTTTCAAGCTGGGCACCGTTTCATTCACAACACCTGTCCCATCAACCAGGAATCAGAATCAGAAATAGTTTAATAATCCCAGGAAGAAATTACTTTAGTTACATTACTCCATCTGTTATAGAGTGACTATAGGACCAGTTTGATGTAACACTATTTAATACTATATATAATTAGGGGGTCCCCGCTCCATCTAGCCATCACTTTGAGGGTCCTTGGCCTGGAAAACGTTGAAGACCCCTGCACTAGCATATCATTGCACTTATTGTTGAGTTAGATTATCTCAAATGAAGATTAACAATCTAACAGAATCTAATCTTTAATAGTACATCTATCTCAAAACAAAATCAAAAAGACTTCTGGTAGATCTAAGATTGAAAGACTTGGTTAAACAGATAATATTTGCAAAATAAATGTGGAATGATCTTCTTTTTTCATTTCAAGAGACCAACGTTTTATATCAACTGTAAAAGATGTATTTTTGTCTGTATACACAATGTCGTTTTAGTTTAAGATTACCCCTAGAAACATTCATGCTTGAACCCAATCGTCAGTTTTAGGATAGTTTTAAATGTATGCATTGAATGAGACTCAATTTACCTGATATGCCAAAATCAAAGATGGCCAGGTTAACAGTCATGAGCTCAGGAGGCTTCAGTTTGGTCTTCCGTCTGATGGTCGTGTAAATGACGTAACCATTCCCTGTAGCAGACAGGATTCCTGTTAAGGAGAAAGAAACAGTTTTGCTTTAAGACAATGGTTTCATTCTTGTACATTGTATGATTAACTTTTTTATTTAAAATTGTACAATATTGATGTTTTTTATACTTAAGGCAACTTTTTTGAAAAGAACATTCAATGCAGCAAGAACCATTTTCAATGACTAAACCCAAACACCAATTTAACCAGACAAGGGTTAAATAAATAGGAACCAACCTCAGAGTATCAATTGAAGAGAAATTATGAGACTGACGTTCATTTTAAAGGTCGAAGTACACCTAGTCTATAAAGTTGTTACCTAGACAACAACAAGAAAAGGGCTGCTGCTGAACCACCTGCCAAAGTATGCTCCATGGAGATGGAGACCAATTCCCCAGCAGGCTTCCATAGATTGGACATTCATGTAGAGCTGAAGACAACAGCTTGATGCACACTACCTTAGCCTGCAAGGAACATGTGCAGCAACTTCTGTGCATTAGCTCAGGCTAAATGTCATAGTGAAACACACACCTGACATCAATCTGACTAGGAAAACAATTAATAATAATAATTCTAATAATATTACATTTTATTTAAAAGGCGCCTTTCTGGACACAAGGAAAGATAAAAACAATGGCAGAAACAAAGAGTAAAAAAACATTAAGAATATAAGAATAAAATAAACATAAAAAAAAATACACAGGCTGGGGGAGGGAACTTAATATTAAAGAAAATAGGCAATTTTAAACAGATTAGTTTTAAGTTGTGATTTGAAATGGAGAAGTGAGTCTTTATTTCTAAGTAGGGGTGGTAGAGAGTTCCAGCGGCGGGGGGCACAGCGGCTGAATGCTATGCTCCCCATGGTGGTGAGACGGGCAGAAGGGAAAGACAGGTGTAAAGCAGATGAGGATCTGAGAGCACGGGAGGGGGTGGGAACATGCAGGAGGCCTGACAGATATGGGGGGGGGGGGGGCAAGGTGGTGAAGGGCCTTGAATTTCAACATGACAATTTTATATGGAATGCGGAACTGCACAGGGAGCCAGTGGTGCTGTCGGAGGACCAAGTTTATGTGGTGGATAGAGGAAGTTCTGGACCAGTTGTAGTTTATCGAGTGATTTTTGAGGAAGGCCAAAAAGGAGAGAGTTGCAATAGTCCAGTTGGGACGTAAAAAGGTAATTATCTCCAATATTGGAGTCATAGAACAGAATCAAATTTTAAATTAATTAATAATTAGATTCCCAAAGTGGAGGGATGCACTTCCTGAAGGAACTTTTTTAAGAGGTACAAATAGGGTTGTCAAAAGTATCGATACTCAAAAAAGTATCGATACTGAAACGTTGTATCCGGATACAATACTCATTTTCAAAAGTATCGAGTACCAGTCGCACCTAAACAGTCATTCATCTAAAGTGCAGAATAGAGGAAAATGCACTTTCTGAACACTGTGTGATTGAATAATTCTGTGCACTTTTCAGTTTCAGACTTTTTTTGTAAGAAGTGCAGCTGCTGAGAATTATTTTTGTTTCTTAACTGGTTTGGCTAGTGTCATTGTTATGTGTGCAAAGCATAGCCAAGTAAGGAAAACTTCATTTTAATTTTGTAAGTTTTTTTATCAAGCTTGCTAAATACTGTGCACAGCAAACAAACTCAAAATGTTGTTCTTATTGTTTATTGTATTTATTTATTTATTGTATTTTAATTATTAATCAAAATATTTCTGTTGAAATGTTATCCTTGTGGTATTGAAAATGGTATCGAGTATCGAATATTTTCCTTAGTATCGGTATCGAGTTGAAAAGTTTAGTATCGTGACAACCCTAGGTACAAATAAAAACAACTAATAACACCATAAAATAAACTGTAAAATTATTACCTACCTTAAGAAAGATTATATCTAAAGGTAAAGCACAAACTCATCTCTAAATAGTCTACATGTAACCTGAGCATTGAAATGTGATCTATTTTTCAGTGCAGAGATCTTTTTTCTCCCCTTTTTAAACAAGTCTGAGGAATATTGCATATAAGATCAGCTATATTTTAAATTTAACTTTCCACACTGTAAAAAAGGACAAATGAATTCAAGTTATGCAACCTGTTTTTTTTTAAGCTGTTCCAAGCTATTATATTTGTCTAATAAACTATATGTACGTCGCAAAGCAATCAGGGAATTGGTGGAGGATGCACAAAAACGCAGTTTGTGGCTGTGGGTAATGAGGAGAGATAGAGGGTGGGGGCATTACACCTAGGGCATCAGCAGGGGGTGACATGGAGAGATCCCTGCCCTCGCTCCACCACCAAGAGATGTACTGGGGTTTAAGGAGTGAAACATCCATGACAGGTGGTCCCAGCTGGTGACTCGCTCAAACCCCGGGTTGTAAAAATTACCATGTTCTAGGAACTGTTGGAGGTGCATCAGGCAGCAATTCCCAGCAGGGAGACATCACCCTTTATTTTCAGTTATAAAGCAATCTGATGGCCAAAAAAATAAAGTTTATAAATGTACAGCTTTTTTCATATAGGGATCAATGTTATGAAAGGGTGGAACTACACTACAAAAACGGTTCTATAAATGACTCATAACTAAAAATTACTTTTATGGACAGAATTTGTAGGCGCAGCCAAGGTGTTGAGGGGATCTGTTTTGTTGGCTTCAGGATTGCATCTCTGTAATCGGCAGGTGATGTGGTTCTATTGGCTTCATGATCTACTGCATCACACTGAAGCAGTTCGCAGTCGAGTGTGATGCACCTGGGATGAGGATCAGTGCCTCCAAATCCGACACCATGGTCTTGAGCTGGAAAAGGGTAGAGTGCCTTCTCAGGGTTGGGGAGGATGTACTGCCCCTAGTGGAGGAGTTTAAGTATCTTGGGGTCTTGTTCACGAAGGGGAAGGTGGAGCAGGTGATCGATAGAAGGACTGGTGTTGCGTTTGCTGTGAAGCGTGGTCTGTACCGGTCTGTTGTGGTGAAGAGAGAGCTGAGCCATAAAGAAAAGATCTTGATTTACTGCTCGATCTACATTCCTACTCTCATCTATGGTCATGAGCTTTGGGTCATGAGCGAAAGAATGAGTTCCCGCATACAAGCGGAGGGACTATGTTCCTCGGCTGGCCTGAGAGCGCCTTGGGATTCCCCCGGAGGAGCTGGCCCAAGTGGCTGGGGAGAGGGGTGTCTGGGCCTCCCTACTGAAGCTGCTACCCCCACGATCAGACTCCGGATAAGTGGAAGAGGATGGATGGATGGATGGATGGATGGATGGATGGATGGATGGATGGATGGATGGATGGATGGATGGATGGATGGATGGATGGATGGATGGAAATTTGTCCTTAATTTAAGCAGATAAATGAGACAATCTGCCAATAAAATTAGTATTCTTTGCCTTGACATAAGATGCACTTGAAATGAGATAATGTAGTGTTTTTCTCTTAAATGTGGATATTTTATTCTATTTGCCAATTGTATTACTGATCTGCTCAAATCAAGGAAATCAAACTTTATTCAAGAAAATGTTATTTAGATCTTAATAATTGCTGATTTTTTAACAGGCATGTACCTGTTTTTTAGCAGGTAATATAACACCACATACTATAATACCTTACTGCACCTCATTTTTTTTTTTTATTTATCCATTTCTGAAATCACTCTTTTCTTCATTTATAGTATAAACAACAATTAATCATGACTGTTAGTCACAGTTTGCCAGTATGCACAGTAACTGCCCTTGTTTAGGCACATTGATAAATAATTTGATCCACTGCTCTACATATTACCTTATCAGTGCTTTAACACTTCTGGTTGGATGTAATCTGCATATCGCTGCTCTGCACTTGTGACATGCATTAACGATAAAGTTGAATCTTAATCTTATGCATCACATTGACGAACTGGCATTAATTAGTGGAGGGCGTGTGATGAACAAAGGGTTATTAAAGTCTTTCTACTAGCTGCTGTTGCCTGAAAATACCAGGGGTTTAATGAGCCCTGTGAGATTTGGGAATACAACAGAGAGCCATGAAACCAAATGAAGGAGCTGCAAAGCTGCACTGAGCTGATGTCAAGGGAATAATCTGGCTTCAACCTGGACATTTCATGTTACATGTAAAGAATATATTATAGAAAGAGAATCACTGTACAAAGTGAATTAAAAAAAATGATTATTCTGACATTGGCTCTTTTGCCTGAGGTTTCTGTTAAAGCTTTTTTTTGCTAAAAAATAGAGAATGAGAGGAACCATCTACTTAGCTTTGGGGAAACATGACATTTTTGGTGTTACATAAATATCATTGTTGCGTCACTTAATGTTTTCATATGGCTTGCATAAACTTTGAACATATTGTAGTTTTTTAAGGAGGGAATTATTATTTTTAATTAATCTTGTTTTGTTTCTCGATCAGTGCTGCTCCCAATTTTGGACATCCTTAACACATTTTATTTTGTTTTTTTTTTGCATTTTTGTCCCAGTTAAGTGTTAAATGAAATCAATAGGAGCATTAGTCCTGATTTTCTCTGGATATTGATTTGTTGACTGGCTTTTGAGGATTGTTTGATGTTCTTCTTCTTCTTCTTGTTCATGTAAGCTTTTATGGTGGTTGGCAAAATTGTTAAAATGCTTTACCGCCACCAACTAATAAGGAGTTAAACAAGGAAACAGGAAGCAAGATTTGCTCTCCCAAAAAAAATAATAAATGTATCAAATTACTAAATTAGCTTTCCAAACTCTTTAATGTAACCCAACATAATAAATATAAAATATTTAATCGAATTTGTCCTCGGGATTTCTAATTTATCTTTAAGTTATTGTAATTCTGCCAGTTTCTGATGGTCCTACTCGTTTTCCCATCATGCTTTCCAGTTTTCCCAGTTTAAATCTCTAACTTCAAGATACTTTTCTGCAGTTTCACTAATTTTTTTCTAAGCACTACAACTGACCACTTCTACCACAACCATTACAAAATCCTTCTTTTTAGCACATGTTCTTCACCTGTTTAAGGAAGTTATATTTTAAACCTAGATTGAGAA